ACTGATCTAGGATCTAAATAGATTTAAGGTCTAAATAGATCCTAAGGATTGGATAGATCTAGGGTCAAAATAGATCCTAAGATCTAAATTGATCTGGAGGGTTTGAAGTCTAGATTTGAATGAAATCTTGATAAGTTGAGATATGAATTGAGTTGAGTTTGAATTGCTTTTAGGATCCTATTAGAGACCTCATACAAAAATGAGGTCAACAGATTCTCTCGACCTCTTCCACATAGGTTAACGTCGTTGAGCAAAGGCTCCGACATACATCCTCGGATAGGTCTAACATCCATTGTGGATTCTCTTGACCTCTTTCCTATAGGTTAATGTTGTCGAGCAAATGCTCCGACAGACAACCTCGGAAAGGTCTTATATCCTAGGTGATTCTACCGACCTCTTTCATATAAGTTATTTTCATCGAGCAAAGCGCTCTGACATACAACCTCGAAAAGGTCTCACATCCTTGGTGGATTCTCTCGACTTCTCCCATACAGGTTAACGTCATCGAGCAGGGCTCTGACATACAATCTTGGAAAGGTCTCGCATCCTTAGTGGATTCTCTCGACCTCTTCCACACAAGTTAACATCATCGAGCAGGGCTCTAACATACAACCTCGAAAAGGTCTTGCATCCTTGGCGGATTCTCTCAACTTTTTCCACATAGTTTAACGTCATCGAGAAAAAGCTCTGACATACAACCTTAGAAAGGTCTTGCATCCTTGGTGGATTCACTCGACCTCTTCCATATATGTTAACATCATCGAGCGAAGACTCTGACATACAACCTTTGAAGAGTCTCACATCCTTGCTGGATTCTCTCGACCTCTTTCATATAGGTTAACGTCATCGAGCAGTGCTCTGACATACAACCTTAGATGGGTCATACATCTTTAGTGGATTCTTGCAACCTCTTCTACAAAAGTCAGCATCATCAAGCAATGTTTTAAGTAAATATTCTCTCTAAAGAAGATCTCATGAAAGCAAGTGATTGATAAAATCATCACTAATATAAATATCTTAGAAGTCTAACAGTGCCTCCAAAAATATGGGGGCAATCCATCAAAGCATGTCTCAAAGATGCAATAACTCTTCAACTTCATCAATGGGATAAGTTCTTAACTTTATATACAATATCAATGGAGTTATATAAATTCAGATTCAGATGTAAATTTCTTTTCACTATAAATTGAAATTAAAAGTATAGTGGTGTTATTCATACAAGCTACTATCATCAAGCAACAAATAACTTCAAAATAGTCAAAAATCTTTAGTGAATTTAAGTGACTTTTTCTCTACTACACATCAATGCATTTCCAACAACTTCTTCTTCAAAGAAAGATTACAATTTGGTCTTCATCAGGCCTCAACTCAGTTGACACTATATGTGTGTCGCCATACCACTAATATAACACACTGCTCCGGCCCTTTGACTCAGGGATATCTAATGTCGGTACACTTCAGTATAGACGCATATTGTATTAGCAAAATGCCACTGAACTACTGCTCTCATTATCCCTTCATCTGATATTTGCTGGCGGCTCTTCACTTCATATCAGCCATTATCGGATTCTCGCTCGACTGCTACTTGCAGCGCACCCTCAAACTCTCTCCTTCATCTCTACACTCGATCATTGACTGCTAATGGGCTTCAACTCGATTGTCCATCGCCAACAAACTTCTGCTCAAATGGCGTTGAAAATCTCTCGTCTACTCATCACTCTGGTTCTTCTCCCGGATACTATTACCGCAAGATCTTCTCAAATCACCCTCGCATATAAGCAGCAATTGATCTCCTTCTACACAGAAGAGGGGCACTGAAGCTTGATAGGAGAATGTTGCCTATCACCAACAGTGGAATGCCTCCAATGTAAGAAGAATATTTTTGTAGAAGAAAAGAAATGTCTACAAAAAGTCTAACTTCTGCACAAGAGGAGGGGCACCGATTTTAGTAGGGAAAGTCACCGACAAAAAATAACGGAATTCCTCGACTGTAAGAAGATTGTCAGAGAAGAAGATAATGGAATGGGAAAAAATTTCTTCTACACTAAAGAGGGGCGCCGATTTAAGTGGGGAAAGTCACCTACGAAAAGAGCAGAAGTCCTTTAGAGAAAGAAGAAAAATGGGGAAGAAAGAAGGATAAAGATTAGAAAAATTCCAACTTCTGTACAAGAGGAGGAGGGCTGATTTAAGTAGGGAAAGTCACTTACTAAAAATAGGGGAGTGCCTCAACTGTAAGAAAGCCAGAATGCAGGGAAAGAAAGAAAAGAAACGACTGCAAAATTTCTAACTTCTGTACAAGAGGGGCACTAAATTGAGTAGGGAAAGTCACATACTCAAAAACAGTGGAAAGCCTCAACTGCCAGAAAGCTAGAAGAAGAAAGAAGAGTAATTTTCAACTTCTTTACAAGAGGAGGGGCGCTAAATTGAGTAGGGAAAGCCACCTACTCAAAAATAGTGGAAAGCCTGAATTGTCAGAAAGTTAGAAGGAGAAAAGGTGAAGGTGCAAGTTTCCCCCTAGCCCTGTTGGGATATTTAGCATTTTTTGTGAAGAAAAGAACATTCCGGAACTTCACGGAATTTTCCCATTTTTTTTTTTTGGAAATTTTTAGATTTTTGAGAATTTTTTGGATTATAAAAAAGAGTGTGGGTCCCACAATTTAAAAAAATTTATTACATAACCGTGGGCAGCTAACCGCGCGGTTACTGGGCGGATGCGCCGTTTCGCTCACGGCATGAGTGCCGTTGCCGGCGGCGGCTGGCCGGTTCGGCCGTTTAACCATGTCAGGGCCTGATTTTCGGCCCGAACGGTCCAAATCCGGTGTTTTTGGGGTCATCCGGACACATTTGTTGATGTTCTAGACTCAATTTTGACACTTTAGGAGCTCAACGGAGCCTCTATGATCAAGTTTGAGAAAATTTTTAATTTTTGGAACGCAATTTTTTGCGATTCAGCCAATGAAAATTGTCGACTCATATATTTTCGGACTCCTAGAGCTTTGACGTCCGAAAATAGGGGGGCAACTCATATGTCATCAAGAAACTATCTTGATCGGGCATGAATCTCAAGGCAAAATCAAGCTAGAAACTTCAAAAATTAATTCTGGGATCATATGAACTTTGATTTTAGCAAACTTACTGTCGAACTGATCATCTCGAAAATACAAACCCAACGACATCAAAATCGACTCAATATGAGCCCAAATGAGTCCAAATCAAGGACCAGAAGCGTTGTTGGAAGGTTTAAACCACAAATTGAGTTATCAAACGGTTTACAAACATGACTTGCTTATAGTCGAATCGAGCGGCTCGACGAGATAAATCCAACGAGCCCAAGATCGTCAAATTCTGACATCATTAAGACCTTCGAATGCCTTATAAATCGTCCACGATCGATGGATTCAATATCGGCCGTTCATCCGAACCACTCCATATTTTTCCGTGATCTCTCATCTATTTACGGGCCACGCCACTCCATAAAATATATGAATAGACCCCTCATTTCTCTTGAGGGGGGATCCAAGCAAGAGGAAGAAGAGAAGAAGGAGAAGATTATGAGGGAAGAACACCTCCTCGACCACCATCGTCGGCATTCTGTCTGAACGACACCAGAGTTCCGCCCGACCTCCAAGTGAAGCCGGGGTTTCACCTGAACTCCAAGTGACGCCGGAGTTCTGCTCGAATACCATCTAACGCCGTAGTTCTCCTAGGCCGCCAACTGACGTTGGACTTCTACCCGACGTCCGACCTCCGCTCGTCGCCAAGTTTCTACCCAACGTTGGACTTCTACTTGATGTCGGATTTTCACCAGACATCTACCTGATGTTGGATTTCTGTCCATTGATAGTCTTCTACTAGACGCCGTCTTTCTAACTTCCGTTGTTAGACAACGGTTCTTGCGACCTCCGTCGCCCGCCGACTACGGTCCTTCAGACTTACGCCGTCCACCAATTACAATTCTTCTGACCTCCGTCGCCCGCCAACTACGGTTCTTCAGACTTACATCGCCCACCAACTACAGTCCTTCCGACCTTTATCGCCCGTCGACTACGGTCCTTTAGACTTACGTCGTCCGCCAACTACAGTTCTTTCGACCTCCGTTGCCTGCCGACTACGGTCCTTCAGACTTACATCACCCAACAACTACGATCCTTCCGACCTCTATCGCCCGCCGACTACGGTCCTTCCGAACTCCGTCGCCCTCCAACTACGGTCCTTCCGATCTACGTCGCCCGCCAACTACAGTCCTTCAGACCAAACAAACACATAAACAATGATGTTATGTTTTCTCACCATGTAATGTACTCTATAAGATGTACATCAAGCTAAGGCCTTCCCCTGAGGAAGGACCTCCATTGTAATCAACTACAATACTAGTGAATTCATTCATACTAGACCATGCCCCGTGATTTTCCCCCCTTTTTAGGGGTATTCCACGTAAAAATCATGGTGTCTTATAAATGTTACACGCCTTCTCTCTTATCTGATTGCGTGCCGGATTTTCGTACAACGCTAAGACACTAAACTTTATATTTCTCTACTGCCGTGAATACTCCAGGATGCAACAGTACTCATAAGATTTTAGGTCATTCAAATTTGATTTGAATATGTTTGAATTTGAACTCACTTCGAATTAGGCAGTTTGTGACAATTCATGCAGGTTTCATAATGGGAGCTCATATGAGATCTCATCTAGGGTATCAATCAATAGGATCAATGGTGTTCAAAGGAGAAGAAAGTTTGTGCATGAGCTCCCTCGGGCAAGAATTGATGGGATCAATGATGTTTATTATAGAAGAGTTCTTTTGGGAGCTAACTAAGGGGCAGTGATCACAACATTGATAAATGCTCGAAAGAAAAGATGAATTCATTCAAAACCTCAATAGGGATAGTAATCAATGGGACCAATAGTGTTTAAAGAAGAGGATTTTATGCAGGAGATTATAGATGCAGAAATCGATAGGCCAACATAGCTTGAAGGAGTGCAAAATTCATACGTAAACTCAATGGGGACAACAATTGACGAGATTGGCCGATAGCAGCTTTAACCTATCTTCTTCAGTCTCCGGAGGAAACCCTAACGCAGAACTAATCTCCCGCAACGATCCCTTCCTAATCGAACCGTAAACTCCACCGATCCAATTCCTTGCAACCAGCTCCTCCGCCCGACGCACAGCCGCCTCCAACGTCTCCTTCGTGCCGCCGTGAGCTCGATCGATAATCCCCTTTGCCGCCGCTTCTGCGGCGCCGATCTTCTTCCCCTCGAGTACGATCTCTCGGAGAACCTTTGGATCGGAGATCTTCGATCTCATCAACGCCAAGAAATACGGAGGGAAAGGCATAGCGTTATCAATTTCGCTCATGTAAAGTACGCCTCTGTCTCCCCTCATCTCCACGTAGTCATGGCTTATCGCGAGCATGAAGCCGGCGGCGGCCGCGTGTCCGTTGATGGCGGCGATGGTCGGCATCGGAAGGGATATGAGATCGGCCACGAGGGCGCGGAAGTCGGAGACCATGGAATGGAGACGAGATTGAGCGGCGGAAGCGGAGCCGCCGGATCTGGCCCAAGAGAGATCGAATCCGTTGGAGAAGAAGCGGCCTTCGGCTGTAGTCACGAGGGCGAAGCCTCGGCCGCCGGCAGCAACGGATTCGGATTTGGCATGGGAGAGGGCGCTTCGGATGGAGGAGATGGCGTCGGGAGAGAGGCGGTGCTCGCCGTCGCCGGTGAGGGTTAGGATGAAGACACGGTCCCGCTTCTCGAGAGAACACATATTTTATCAATTCGTCCAGTGCTTGCGTAGTGCGGAACAGCATATGCAAAGTTATTTATAGACAAGTATAATAATTGCATGTGTGCTTACTATTAAAATTGCATAAATAAAATAAAAAAAATATTATACAAATTTAAATTATGTATAATTAAATTAATTTTTTTAATAAACAGATAAAATTAATATTAATGCATAAATATTTTTGATATTAAAATTCATGATATATAATTCATATTTTTGAGTTATTACATAGGTTATTACAATGCCCAGTATTCAGATTGGATTTCCAATGTGATAATAATTCAAAATTTGACTTGCAAAGAGAGAATGTGTGCAAACTTCACAAATTTAAACCCAATATGCCCCAAGGATGGCTACCCACAAGCATCAACGCCCTTGTCGACTTGGCGGTGAGCCGTCCTGTCATAAGTTTTTTGGATGGCTTCTCAGGCTACCATCAGATCAAGATGCATATTAAAGATTGAGTGAAAATAGTATTCATCATAGTAGAGGACATATACTGATACAAAGTTATGCCCTTTAGGCTAAAATATATTGGGGCCACTTTCCAGAGGAAGATGGATAAAATCTTCAAATAACATGAAAGCTAGAATATCAAAGTATACATGGATGATCTTCTAGTCAAGAGTAAATCTCCTAATCAGCATATTGAGGACTTATAAGAGACATTCCTCACCCCATGCAGTATAATTTGATGTTGAACCCTATGAAATGCACCTTTAAAGCAGGCACGAGAAAGTTGCTTGGGTTCCTCCTAACGCCCGATGGAATCAAAGTCAACCCTAATATGGTACAAGCTATACTTGACATAAATACACCTCAAACTCTAGATCACCAGACTCAACTATATTATCTCCTGAGTGGGGGAGATATGCACTCCTTTCTTCAAACCCCTCAAGAGTGCTTGAAAATTCTCTTGAGGAGAAGACTATGAAGAAACCTTACAATAGTTGACAAACCTACCACTTTGCTACCAAATCATTAGAGTCCCCGTCATAATAAAAATCTATTTATGTACCTCAGAGTTAGCAAAGATGCCATTAGTTATGTGCTCGTCAAAGAAGAAGGGAAAAAAGCAATGGCCCGTTTACTACGTGAGCTGAATACTCTAGGCTGCAGTTATAAAAAATCTCGGGTAGGCTTTAGTCAACTTCGCAAGAAGATTGTGACCCTACTTCCATACGAACTCCTTTTAGGTAATGAAATCACCCTCTCAGGGCATTTCTCATCATTCGAGGAGATTGCTCAAATGGTCTATCGAACTCAGTGAATTTTTTATCACTTACATGTCAAGGACAACAATTAAAGCTTAGATAATCATCGACTTCCTTATAGATTATACCTACTTGGATAAGAGTTCTCAAAGTTCCACTCAAACTTATTGAATTCTATATATTATATAGATGGCATATTGGGTGAATAGGGGGTTGGCGAGGGATCATCCTAAAAGATCCCACTTGAATTATTTGCACTTAGTCTATCAAATTCAAATTTGAATTCACTAACAATTAAGCTGAGTTCAAAGACTTACTCCCAGGATTATGATTTGCTTCTGAAATGGGCATCACTCACCTGAAATTATACTCAAACTTGTAGCTTATGGCAAACCAGATCAATTGAGAATACGAGGTCAAAGATGAATTTCTTTCATGATACTTATTCAAATTCAAGGTTAAGACTAGCAAACTTGAATACTTTGAAATCAATCATATCCCTATAGGTCAAAATCAACTAACGGATCTTCTCACTAACTAAGGAAATGTCAACATTCAACAGCTATGTGATCCTCCACACCTGCCATTGTGAGGGAAAAAGTAGCACAAGCAAAAGAAGACCCCTCGATCGGGCTCCGCATTCCATAAGCTAGATGGATCCCTACATTGAATACATGGAAAATGGATCAATTAATATTGAAATTTATGACCCCACATGATTTAAAATTGAGGCAAACAACTACCAACAACATGAAGACCACCTATTCAGGAGTCCACATCTTTGCTCAACCTCAAATGTACATATACGAGGAGATCAAAAGGAATCCTTACTAACTGAAGTCCATTCGATAGAATGTTAAATCCATTTTAGTGGATGCACTCTTGCCCATCAGATCCATAAATAAGGATACTTATGGCCTGCCTTAAGAAGAGATGCCTAGGAAGTTTTTTAAAAAATGTTTGCAATGACAAAAGTTTGCCCAAATACAACTATAGCCTTTCCACAAGCTACACTCAATCACAATCCCTTGGCCAATCGCTATGTGGAGAATGGATTTATTAAGCTCATTCCCACCATTAGTGGGGCAAAGAAGATTCATCTAGGTCATGATTGACTACTTCACCAAATGGGTTGAAGCCAAGGATTTAGCCCGCGAATGTTTGCCTTGATTTGAAATTTCATTTGGATAGACATTATCTGCCAACATAAAGTTCCTTTCACAATCAATATAGATAATAAGAAAAAATTCTTTGACCAAAGCCTCAAAGAATTTTGCATCACTCAAGGCATTCACCTCAAGTTTGCCTCTGTTCACCACCCATAGACTATCAGATAGGTTGAAGCCGCCAACTAGCTTAGACTCAACCACCTCAAAAAAAAGATCAAAGGTGCCAAATGGAAGTCATTCAAACTATTTCCTTTTGTACTATGGGATCTCATAATGACTCCATCAATAGTTAAAGAGCAAATACCCTTTTTTCTCTCTCATGGTATCGAAGTTGTACTACTAATAGATCTTTAATTACGAAGCCAATGGGCACTAGTTGTAACCCATGAGACAATCATCAAACTCCATTAATGGTAAGTATCCAACCAAGGAGGCTTGCAAATAGCCACCAACCAACTAGAAGAGCTATGAGCAAAAGTTGCACTCTGATAAGAAGAAGTGAAATGAAGAATCGCCAAATACTATAACTTTCATGTCATAGAATAGACCTTCCGCATTGGAGACATGGTCATAAAGAATGTAGATGTAATTTCTATGCACTCCACTCTCTCTAAACTAGCAAGTACATGGAAAAGGTTCCTACATCATAAAAAGACAGGCTGACCCAGGATCTTACCCATTGTTGACCCACAATGGAACAGAAATACCAAGGACTTGGAGCACCGATGACCTCAAACTATTTTGTCCATAAAGGAAGTAATTGTCCTCTCTCTCTATATTCTTACTATTTTCTCTATTAAAGAGCATTTTTTATTCATAAAGAGCTCTCACAATCAATTAAAGCATTAAAGGCACTTGTCTAATAACCGCCCCTCCAAACTGCCGAGTCTATACCCCAAGGCCTTATAATGAGAACTCCTCGAGAGGATCCTTGTCATAACCTAACTTGATAAGACCTATAAACTAAACTGGTTTGTTGATCTCCATATAAAATTCATAATCAACTCAAATAATGAAAGTGACTATGGGTGGACAAGGTGCTATATAAAGTTGTTCAGATGATCTCTAATCATTAAACATATCGCATCGATGTATTTAGGACTTCAAGTTTACTTAAAGAAAGATCTTGTATATATAATTTGAGCGAAGACATTTGAAATCGACAGACTATTGGTGGAATATTACTCGACGTTGTCCAAACGTCATCCGTTTGCAAAATAAGAAATGATTGTAATATTACATGGGTACTTGCACGAGCGAAAATACAAAATTAACATGAGATACAAAGCGGCGACATTCAAATTAAAATGCAACATTTGTTAGCGAACGAAGCATGACAAGTGAGAAATAATACATAAAATTTCAAACAAAAAATCAAAATTAAATAATAAATAATTTATTTAAAAACGTTATGTAACTAATACAAATTTGATAATAATATTTATATTAAATGTAAGGACAGGCTAATATTAAAATTAAAAATGTTATTAAAAAATCAGAATAGCTTTATATATCATATAAATATTAATTTTGCATGAATTAAAAAAAGCTAATAATTAATTAGTTCTAATCAAATATCAAATTCCACCACTTATATTTCTTTCATTTTCCATATACACATCGTAAATATAATCTCATACCATTAATTATTGCACTCCATATAATCTTATTTGGATAATTATTTTTGCTTTTATTTCATTTAAAAAAAAATCCACTATTGTTATCTGATTCAAAAATCTATCCAACTCCTCTTTTATGCATGGCAAGATCCTCCACCTGTATGTTGGTAGAGCCCACTTGTCTCCCACTAAGCCTTCTTGCTTTCACACAAATTGAATAAGACAATGAATTCTTTTCTATTTTTGCACGAGACAACTCTTTCCACTTCTCCAAAATGACTCATTCTTCTAATTTTCTACAATCATACAACTCTCTCCCCCAATCATTGCCTTATTAGGTCCGGTCACCGAACATAGAGATAGGTCCAGACACCAATAAAATATTGACATGTGGAATGTACACGTGTTCGCGGATTTTTAAGTGAAGGACGTCAAAAAGCGGAGGTAAAGTGCATGTAAAGCGCAGTCAAAGCGCAGTCCACGTGGCAAGTTGTAATTGGTTGTCCGGACCTATTTTTAGGTCCGATGACCGGACCTAATAATTTGCCCTCGTTCACCTATAATAGTCCAGTCACCACCTATACGTACTCCACACGAGTTCACAACAACCCCCTTATCTCCTCATCTCTTCTTTGTTCGCTTCACATAGACCCATCCAACAAGCCCAAACAACTACTCTCTTGAAATTCCACTTAGCTGACCCAAGTCATCCTTCACTGTACCAAAATCAGTCCGTTCTCTTCCTATCATACTTACTCCTCTAACAAACCACTCCTCCAATCCCTACCTAAACCATCCCCCTTATTTCTCTCTATAACAGTCCATCTTACTCGACTCAAAAGTACTCTAACATCAACTTTTGATTTCCCTCTCTCTCTCTCCATCAGTAGTATTATATTCTTGACATTAGCTTAAAAAATAAAAAACAAGGAAAAGAAAAAGAAAATGAGATAGAGATAAGAGAGTAATTTTGTGTTTTGATTTTCTCGTCATCGTTTTCACCACGGTCGTGTAAAGGTATAATGATTTCTAAGCGCGCTAGGGGACTACCTATACACATCTTTTTTTGGAGTGGTGGGAGGAAAATCAGTATGGTGCTCACGGTGAGGTGGCATATGTCCAAATAAAAGTTACTAACTTCTAAGTACATCTCGCCAGAGGGGGCAAAAATATGAGAATTTTTTTTTTTCACAAATTTCTTTTAAAGACCGTTCATGTTTAGAAATTTGCATACCTAAAATATAGTAGTAGGTCTCTTCCAATAAGCAACAGACTAAACCTTCTAAGGATCTACAAAAAAATTAGCACTACTGACTACATGTCCTAGAAATGAGATACTTTTCAATCGAAACTCACACTTAAAAGTTTTGCATATAATTTATGATGCCTCAAAATCTTCAAAATAATCCTCAGATGTCTAGAATAATCTTTCTCAGAATCATAATAAATCAAAATATAATCTATAAATATAGTGACAATTTGATCCATATAATCTTTGAATACCCGATTCATCATATCCATAAAAATGTCTGGAGCATTAGTCACCCTAAAAGGTATGACTAAGAACTAATAGTGACATACCAAGTGCTTAAAGTAGTTTTCATCACATTTGCTTCTCTCACCTTCACTTGATAATATCCAGATCTCAAATCAATCTAAAAAAATACAGAAGATTCAACAATTTAATGCATCTTCTAAAAACACTTATTGCCATTATATGAATAGGATTTGTATTATTTTGCCAAAAGATCACGGTCATATCATCTACAACAAAGCAGCTACAATAAAATGCATATTGGCCGACTCCCCCCTTAGTGATAAGCTTTGTAATGAATAGCGTACTAGTCCCTTACAATTATAAAATATTAAATTCCTGACAATATAGGTGATTATAGGCATCTACCTATTATATTTAACAAAATGCCTCAGACATTGTTGTCTGATTCTACACTTTGTGACAAGTTTCACAATGAGTAGAGCATGAGTCCCTAATAATTTCCATATCATAAAGTTCCCAGACACTATTGGCAACTATAGGCATCACACAACTAAAGGTATACCCCCACCTTCACGAAAAGCTCTGCAAAAGGCACCATGTGGTTACCTCTATAACTGGCAAGACAATGACACAAAATGACCCTGAGCAGAGACTCCCTCCTTTAGCGCAATGAAGGCAGAGTGAGACTCCTCAGTTGGCAAAACCCAACAAGCTTTCTTTAAAGAACCATAACCTAGCATATGACACCATTTGTCATAAAAATAATTTTGCATAACAACAATGTACTTGCTCCACAACATCATATTCATGTTGCCACTAAGGTATGAAAAAATTATGAAAAAGAGAAAAGAAGAAGGCAAAGTTCAAAGAAAAAAATTGCTTTATATTTTCCCTACGCCAAAATTACAACATGGATGATGCGACTCATTTATTGACCGCACTCGCAGCCTCGCTATCCTCACTATCACTTTTAATATACGCTCTAAAAATAGGAAGGATTATTGAACCATAAGTCAATATCACCTCTTTCCACCAAATTATTGATGCAACTTGTGATCCATCAAAAATAGTGATCACATGACATGTGCTCATAATCTCCATCATGAATTATGTGGACCACTTCATCTAACTTTCAAGTTAATTTGAAAACAATCTCTTCAACTTATTCTTTGGCTTCAATAACCATAAAATAATCATCCACAACCACCTCAGCCTTATCCTTAGCCTCAACGATTGACAAAGCCTTTTCTCTTGTTGAATCCTTTTCAAATCGATGTTGATCTCACATCTGGGCTGTCTCTTTTTCAAGTTAACTCATCCTACTCATCGTCTCGTAGTGGGCCTTCTTCTCCTCAAGTAGGACAAATTCAATATAACTCTTAGTTATCTTTACTCACATAATACTATCAATAGATGTCATATAATGCATGTCTAAAAGGAAAACATTGTAAATATCATTTTTCTCCCAGTATCGTCCGGGACGAAGTTGGATCGTCCCGGGACGATCGGTACAAGTTGTGCTAAAATTTTGGAGACTGAACAGTTCGTCAGGACGATATTTTGATCGTCTGTACGAAAATCTCACAGAGCCAGATCGTCCAGGGACGATATTTAATTTCGTATGGACGAAATTCATCCAGAGCCAAATCGTCCTGGGACGAAGTTGCGATTGCCCGGGACGATCCGTCTGGATATATATAGAAATGAGATATTTTGAAGAGAGAGAAAAGCCCAGGAGAGAGAAAATCAAAGGAAAAGAAAGAAAAAGTGATTTTTGTGCGACTCCAGTCCGTTTTCGTCCGTTGCTGTAGTTAAAGTAGTTGACTGATTCAAGGTAAGGTACATTCCGCCTTTCTCAATTTTCAGAAATAAGGATTTTGACGAGTTTTCTGTTTTGAATTTTGTTTCCGTTAGCGAATTTCGGGTATTATTTTCTTTTGACAAAGGTTTTACCGCGTAACTTTTAGTATGTCTTTGAGATGATAATTGCGCACGTTTTGATTATTTTATGGAAGATTTTTACCGGATATTTTGGATTCTGCGGTGTTTTAAGTGAACTGTAAATTATCAGGATGTTAAAAAATATTTTGCCAGTATAATGAAAGTCTTACAATGTTGTTGTAAATGTTCTGTGGTAATTTGGTAAATTTCTGAATCTGTGAGTTTTGTGTAAATTCTGTATACTGCCGTTATGCCGTTGAAATTTCGTACGAATTCTGATTTTTTCTGAATTGAGTGCTTGAATGAATTAAAGTGTTTGTGTGCCATCAAAAGGAAGTTATAAGGGGCCAGAATCCGTAGAGATTCTGTAAGTGTCTGGGAAGGGAGATATGAGGGGCCAGAATCCGTCGAGATTCTGTAAGTGTCAGGGAAGGGAGGCATAAGGGGCCAGAATCCGTCGAGATTCTGTAAGGGTCTGGGAATATGAAATCTGATATGTTATATGTTATCCAAAATATGGTGTTTGATATCTGAAATTTGTTATGTGACTTATCTGATCTGTTTTATGAATCATCCGATATATGCACGATTCTGGTTATTCCGTACGATTCTGTCTATTCTGTGACTTGAAAGCTTTATGATATCTGTTCTGAACTCCGATTCGACATGACTTCAATTTTATGTATTTGTTGTTGATTTATATTTGAACAAGTATCTGTTCTGTGATTTTCGTACGGCTATTTCTAATAGGCGTTTCTGACGATTTTGATTGGTGATTGATGTCTTGCTGAGCTATTAGCTCATCCTTATTTTTACGTGGTTTTCAGGTTCTGGAAAAGGGAAGGAAGTCGTGGATTAGCGGTCCAGAGTCTGATCTGTGATTAGGTACTTGATACTTTTGATTTTTGTACAGTCATGGCTTATCTGTTATGTTCTGTTCTTTCTGTCTGTAAGCCATGCACTGTATCTGTATATGATTATTTTGAGAAAATAAAAGATAGATGAACTGTGCTGTATTTGGATGTTTATAGTAGCTCTGTATTTTTCTGTCTATTTAATCTCTAGAAGAAAGTCGGAAGCAAATTCCAAAACTAGATCCTAGATTTTCAAAGGCTATGTCGCGACCCAATGCGAGCGGTATCCGTCCCGATCGGGTTGGGTTGTGACAAGCTTTAGTAGTATCAGAGCAATAGTTTTGGAATTTGGATTGTAAGACAGAGCTATATGAAGTGATCTGTTAGTCTGTCAGGGGTAGTTTTGATTTGTCTGGATTTTTATTCTGTTGTTTTGTGCTTAGTTTTCTGTGTGATTATGGATCTGCCAGACCCTGATATGATAAATGGGCAGAGTGCTAGTCAGGCAGCTCCAGTGGGCCGTACAACCCCAATGGTTGGTTCTGATACACTTTCGCAGTTTGCTACGTTGATTGCTCAGATGATGAGCGAGACTCAGAGTAGAGCCTCTACTGTTCGATCTGAGGATATATATAAACATCTACAGTTGTTTCTGAGATTGAAACCTCCGAGGTTTGAGGGCACTGTTGAGCCCAGAGCAGCTGAAGAATGATTGAGGAGATTAGAGAAGACTTTTGATGGTATGTAGTGTCCGTCGGACAGGAAGGTACCATTGGCAGTTTTTCTGTTGGATGGGGAAGCAGAGCACTGGTGGATAGGCCAGTCGGAGGTGAAATTCCAAGGGAAGCTAAATTCTTTGATTACTTGGGAAGAATTTTTTGAGGAATTTCGATCGTGGTTTGTACCTCCTTCTGCACGACAGCAGATGCAGGAGACTTTTCTGAGACTTATTCAGGGGAGCAGGACTGTGATGCAGTATGAGGCAGAATTTACTACTTTAGCCCGTTATGCTCCACAGTTGGTAAGTAATTCTGCTGAGAAGTGCTACAGATTTCTGAGGGGACTACGAGATAGTCTGAGGCAGCCCCTGGTGCCATTTCATATTTCTGATTTCTCTGAGCTTGTGGAGAGAGCTCTTCTGATAGAGAATGATTTGATGGCTACTCAGTAGCGGTGGACTGCAAGTAGGAAGAGATTTGGGGGTGATGCTTTTAGTAGTGGTTCCTCTGGCAAGAGGAGATTTGTTTCTAGAGACTCTAGGAGGAGTGGACAGTTGGGATCCACGATAGTTTCTGGTACTACCGCTACTGGTACAACCAGTTTGGGATCAGTCAATGGGATACCTGTGTGCCAAACTTGTGGACGATAACATTTTGGACAGTGCTTCAGGACGACTGGTCAGTGCTTTAAATGTGGTCAGCCAAGACATCGGATTGTAGAGTGTCCACAGGCTGGATTCGATAGACGATCTGAGTTTCGATCTGATAGTAGACCTGTTGGTTCAGTAGGAAGACCGAGGACTGTTCCTCAACGTACTATGACTGAAGGATCTTCTGGTGGTAGAGGTGGTGGATCTAGTTCTGTGGCACGGAGACCACCTACTGGTAGTCAGAGGGAGTCTAGTGGTTTAGTAGCTCCAGCTCCAGTTCAACCTCGTGTGTATAGTTTGAGTCAGCAGGAGGCTCGAGATGCTCCAGATGTGGTGATAGGTACGATTTATATTTTTGATCAACCATGTCGTGTTTTGTTTAATTCTGGAGCCAGTCACTTGTTTCTTTCCGAGCGTTGTTTTGATGCTTTGCATATGGATTCTATTTTGCTACCGGTTTCTCTTTCTGTTATTTTGCCGGCTAGAAGCAATTTGATCGCCTGAAAGTTTTGTTTTTGTGAGATTGATATTTCTCGCAAGAAGTGGAAGTCAAGTTTGATTTTGTTGCCGATTTCTTCTTACGACGTGATTTTGGGTATGGATTGGCTGAGTCTGTACGAGGCTCAGATTGACTGTTTGAAGAAGCAAGTAAGTTTGTTTATGGATGGAGAAAGATGTGTATTCCAAGGATTACGAGGTGTTCTATCCTGTCTGATTTCTGTATTGGAAGTCAGAAGAATGTGGAAGAAGGGTTGCCCGGTATTTTTGGCTTCTGTACGGGATGTGAACCTAGAACCCACTTCTATTTCTGATATACCGGTTGTACGAGAGTTTTCTGATGTATTTCCTGAGGAGTTGGTTGGTTTACCTCCGGATAGAGATGTTGAGTTCTCTATTGATGTTTTTCCAGGTACAGCTCCGATATCGAAAGCTCCGTATAGGATGGCAACGAAGGAACTTTCTGAGTTGAAAGTTCAGCTTTAGGAGTTGGTGGATATAGGATTTGTTCGTCCTAGTGTTTCTCCTTGGGGAGCACCCATATTATTTGTGAAGAAGAAGGACGGAACACTCCGTATGTGTGTAGATTACAGAGATTTGAATAAGGTCATGATCAAGAACAAATATCCATTACCACTGATTGATGACTTGTTTGATCAGCTTTCTGGCTCTTATGTATTTTCAAAGATTGATTTGAGATCTGGATATTATCAGGTGAAGGTGAAGGAAGCTGATGTGTTGAAGACAGCTTTCAGTACTCGGTACGGGCACTATGAGTTTTTGGTTATGCCTTTTGGGGTAACCAATACACCAGCTATTTTCATGGATTTGATGAACAGAGTGTTCAAGGAGTATCTGGATCAGTTTGTGATCGTCTTCATAGACGATATTTTGGTGTATTCTATTTCTGAGGAAGATCATGCCAGACACTTGAGCATTGTGTTGGAGACTTTGAGGCAGCATCAGCTATATGCTAAGTTTTCCAAGTGTGAATTCTGGCTGAAGAGCATTTCTTTTCTGGGGCATGTGGTGAGGGGTGAAGGTATTTCTGTTGATCCCCAGAAGATTCAAGCTGTTGCTGATTGGCTAAGGCCTACTACAGTATTTGAGGTACGTAGTTTCTTAGGCATGGCTGGATATTATAGAAAATTTGTGAAGGAATTTTCTCAAATTTCTACGCCTCTGACGAGACTGACTCAGAAGTCAGTAGCTTTTGTTTGGACATTGGAGTGTGAGGCTAGTTTTCAGAAGTTGAAGAATTATTTGACTTCAGCTCTAGTGTTAGCACTTCCGTCAGGTACGGAAGGATTTCAGGTGTTCAGTGATGCTTCACTGAAAGGTTTGGGCTGTGTTCTGATGCAGCATGGTAGGATAATTGCGTATGCTTCGAGACAGTTGAAACCACATGAAAGGAATTACCTTACCCATGATTTGGAGTTGGCTGCAGTTGTGTTTGCTTTGAAGATTTGGCGTCATTATTTGTATGGCGTCAGATGTGAGATCTTCACGGACCACAAGAGCTTGAAGTACATATTCACTAAGAAGGACATGAATTTGAGGCAAAGAAGGTGGCTTGAGTTGATCAAGGACTAAGACCTCACGATTTAGTATCAGCCTGGCAAGGCTAATGTGGTAGCAGATGCTTTGAGCAGGAAGTCTTCTGGCTTATCAGGTATTCAGCTCACTTCTGATGAGTATCTGATACGAGATATGTAGAGATTACAGTTAGAGGTGATTTCTTCTACTGGTCCGGATTTTGGTGTTTTAACTCAAATGGATATTCAATCTACTCTGGAAGAAAGGATTCATGAAGCTCAGAAGTTAGATCATGACTATTCGAAGTTGATTGCTCAGATTGAATCTGGTAAGAAACCTGAACTCAGAATTTCTGATTATGGTGTTATTTTCTGTAAGAATAGACTGTGGATTTCTGTGTTTGGAGATTTGAGGAAAGAGATTTTGTACGAATCTCACCATTCAGGCTATACGATACATCCGGAAAGTGGTAAGATGTACGTAGACATGAAGAAATTTTTCTGGTGGCCAGGAATGAAAAAGGATGTAGCGGATTTTGTTTCGAAATGCAAAGCCTGTCAGTTAATGAAGGCAGAGCATCAGCGACCAGGAGGTCTTTTACAGTCATTGCCTATTCCTGAGTGGAAATGAGAGGAGGTAACGATGGACTTTGCTATGTGTTTCCCTCGATCTAGGCAAGGACATGATGCCATTTGGGTGATTGTGGATCGATTGACGAAGTCTGTAATCTTTCTTCCGATCAGGCAGAGGGATCCGGTGGATAAGTTGGCACAGGTATATATGAAGAAGATTGTCAGATTATATGGTGTGCCTAAAGTGATTGTATCTGATCGAGATGGACGGTTTAATTCTAGACTTTAGAAGGGTATTCAGCAAGGCTTGGGTACAAAGTTGCATTTCAGTACGACATTTCATCCGCAGACTAACGGACAGTCTGAGAGGACTATCCAGGTACTGGAAGATCTTCTAAGATTATGTGTTTTGGATTTTGTAGGAAGCTGGGAAGATCGTATTCCTTTGATCGAATTTGCTTATAATAACAGTTTTCAGTCTAGTATTGGTATGACACCTTATGAAGCTTTGTATGAACGGAAGTGTAGGACTCCTTTGACTCTGACTGAGGTAGGAGATAGACAAAAAATGGGTGCTACATTTGTGGATGAAACTGTTATGAAAATCAACTTGATTAAAGAAAGATTGAAAGCTGCACAAGATCGACAACAGAAGTATTACAATCAGAAGCACAGATTTGTGGAATTTCAAGTTGGTGACTTTGTGTATGTCAAAGTCAGTCCGATGAAAGGAGTCAGCAGATTTGGAAGAGTGAGTAAGCTCAGTCCAAGGTATGTTGGACCTTTTGAAATCCATGAAAGGATTGATAAATCTGCTTATAGATTATTGTTATCTGATCAGTTTTCTGAAGTGCATAATGTTTTTCACGTATCCTCTTTGAGAAAGTGGATATCGGATTCTGACAAGAAGTTTTTGCTGATGAGGTTGGGATTCAGGAGACTCTGCAGTATAAAGAAGAACCTGAGTTGATTTTGGCTTACGATGTTCGTAAGTTAAGAAGTAAACAGATTCCTATGGTTAAAGTTCAGTGGAAGCACTGAACAGCACCAGAAGCAACTTGGGAGAAGGAGTCGGACATGAGGCAGTCGTATCCGTATATGTTTTGACTGAGTTTTGGATTGGCAATGTCGAGGACGTCATTTTTCTGAAGTTGGGGAGATTGTAAAGATCATTTTTCTCCCAGTATCGTCCGGGACGAAGTTGGATCATCCCGGGACGATCAGTACAGGTTGTGCTGAAATTTTGGAGACTGAACAGTTCGTTAGGACGATATTTTGATCGTCTGTACGAAAATCTCACAGAGCCAGATCGTCCAGGGATGATATTTAATTTCGTCTGGACGAAATTCGTCCAGAGCCAAATCGTCCTGGGACGAAGTTGCAATCGTCCGGGACGATCCGTCTGGATATATATAGAAATGAGATATTTTGAAGAGAGAGAAAAGCCCAGGAGAGAGAAAATTGAAGGAAAAGAAAGAAAAAAGTGATTTTTGGGCGACTCCGGTCCGTTTTCGTCCGTTGCTGTAGTTAAAGTAGTTGACCGATTCGAGGTAAGGCACATTCCGTCTTTCTCAATTTTCAGAAATGAGGATTTTGACGAGTTTTCTGTTTTGAATTTTGTTTCCGTTAGCGAATTTCGGGTATTATTTTCTTTTGACAAAGGTTTTACCGTGTAACTTTTGATATGTCTTTGAGATGATAATTGCGCATGTTTTGAGTATTTTCTGGAAGATTTTTACCGGATATTTTGGATTCTACAGTGTTTTAAGTGAACTGCAAATTATCAGGATGTTAAAAAATATTTTGCTAGTACAATGAAAGTCTTACAATGTTGTTGTGAATGTTCTGTGGTAATTTGGTAAATTTATGAATCTAAGAGTTTTGTGTAAATTTCGCGTTGTTATGCCGCTGAAATTTCGTACGAATTCTGATTTTTTTCTGAATTGAGTGCTTGAATGAATTAAAGTGTTTGTGTGCTATCAAAAGAAAGTTATAAGAGGCCAGAATCCGTAGAGATTCTGTAAGTGTCTGTGAAGGGAGATATGAGGGGCTAGAATCCGTCGAGATTCTGTAAGTGTTAGGGAAGGGAGACATAGGGGCCAGAATCCGTCGAGATTCTGTAAGGGTCTGGGAATCTGAAATCTGATATGTTATATGTTATCCAAAATATGATGTTTGATATCTGAAATCTGTTATGTGACTAATCTGATCTATTTTATGAATCATCCGATATATGCACGATTCTGGTTATTCCGTACGATTCTGTCTATTCTGTGACTTGAAAGCTTTATGATATCTATTTTGAACTCCGATTCGACATGACTTCAGTTTTCTGTATTTGCTGTTGATTTATGTTTGAATAAGTATCTGTTCTGTGATTTTCGTACGGCTATTTCTAATGGGCGTTTCTGACGATTTTGATTGGTGATTGATGTCTTGCTGAGCTGTTAGCTCATCCTGGTTTTCTACGTGGTTTTCAGGTTCTGGGAAAGGGAAGGAAGTCGTGGATTAGCAGTCCAGAGTCTGATATGTGATTAAGTACTTGATACTTTTGATTTTTGTACAGTCATGGCTTACCTGTTATGTTCTGTTCTTTCTGTCTGTAAGCCATGCACTGTATCTGTATGTGATTATTTTGAGAAAAGAAAAGATAGATGAACTGTGCTGTATTTGGATGTTTATAGTAGCTCTGTGTTTTTCTGTCTATTTAATCTCTGGAAGAAAGTCGGAAGCAAATTCCAAAACCAGATCTTGGATTTTCAAAGGCTGTGTCGTGACCCGATGCGAATGGGATCCGTCCCGGTCGGGTTGGGTCGTGACAAACATTCTGCCAAGAATCCTCCACTAAATTCATTGATTAGTAGATTAAGCTGCATGGATCCATCTCTGAGATGACTC